TCTTCTCCCCAAAGCTATGGGTTTAATAGCAGCACAAACTAGGCCCTATAGCCTTGAGTAGTAAACATTCTACCGCAAAAAAATGGCAACCTGCTACGGAAAAACCTTCTGCCTAGTCAGTCCTGAATCCAAAGAGACATTATCCCCAAATCGTGTATCACATATGGCACTTAACTGACGAGATAGTTATTTCCAAATATCTATTTCTTTGTTTGAAATTTATGCAGTTTAATTTTGAATATTCGGAAAGATTTTAACTGATGATGAAAATAAATCTTAACATTTATAAGTGTACAATTCATCCATGCATTGCATATTGCATGGTCTGGTGCTTCTGCTGTGTATTTAAATAATTTTCATAAAATTTAAGAAGAATATGCAATGTTGTCGGTTCTGAGCTGGCATCTCGGCGTCAGTCACTTTCCTAAGCCTCAATTTCGTAGATTTCCCGTGTCTCTTATAAAAATACTTCCATGGCAAGTATTCTGATGAACTTTCCTCTTTGGCACCTAGACCTTAATTTAAGCGCAGTACTAGATTAGCAGCTAGGTTTCATCATTTTAAACTTGAAATGACTAAATGGAACCGTAAGTTCTATGCTAATAGTTTCTTCTCTCGCACTTATCTTTCGGCTTCTTGCTTTCCTGTCTACTTTTATCTTCAGCAAATTAAATACAATGTCAATCGTTATCTTTTGTCTTCTTAATTCCTGTTCTTTTATTGTTTTTGTCTCTTAATGTTTTAGTTTTTTTTCATATTCTTTCACACTCAGTTACCACCTTGTGTCTTAGTGGCTATATTGCCTTGCTTATTTGCAATGATTAACAAAACTGACTTCGTTCATACAATATTTACACTGTTTACATTGCTGAACGGTTGTCCTCATATTTGTTGTCATATTAACGACATTTTGACCGTTGTATGATCCGGCTATCTTAAGGACAAAGTATATGTGAATATAGGAGAAAAAATAACGGTTGGCCTTAGATATGAACAAATTAATATTGTAGTGATCGGAGAAGCATCCCCTTGGGAGTTGGTTTCTCAAAGCAAAGGGGAGAAGCTGCTCGAGAGGAACTTACAACTCTGTTATGATTTAGACATGATTCGGACGTCCAACCTTGATAGAGGCAGACAAGTGATCGATCTATTAGGCTACCGTTCTACTGTTTAAATAAAGGATCAAATGTACTAATAATTACTAAAATAATGTTTTCTTCTTTGTAATTATTTGAGTTTAATTAATCACGTACATTTCTTTCTGTTCTTTTAAATCAATAATATCGATGTGTTAAATCAATAATATCGATGTGTTAAATCAATAATATCGATGTGTTAAACTCATTTGAAGTAGCGAAAACTAAATTTAACATGTTCCTTGAATTTGTAATTCGAGTTTAATAAGACAATTTGTCGCTTTGAAGCTAAAAATCAATCACTGTTTTGGGCTTTCAAGAAATAGTTAATAGAATAAAAAAGTGCAAATGCTGTTTTATACCCGGTGAATGGGATCTTTCGATAGATTTGTTTTTTTTTTTCTTTTTTGTTTTATTCTTGATTATTTAACACCAAGTAAGGCTTATGTCCTTCGTTAGTATGTAGCCATGGTGAAGACCTTACTATGCAGCTAAAGAAAGGATCGTGTCGCATTGACTCGTTGATCCAGTCTACCATCGACCCCTTTTAAGGCGATAATGTCACTAGGATGCAAGGGAGTAAAAGAGGTTGAAAAGACTTTGTCGAGGAGAAGTGAAGAGAAAGGACAATAAAAGCACAAGTATTAGAAAGGTAATCTTCAAAAATTTAAATGCAACGACAAATCCAAAGAAGGGTCTGTAATGTAATCGATACTGACCCGGCATCTCGACTTTAGTCACTTTCTCACCTACGGGATGTGACTTCCCTCTGTCTTTTCTACAAATATTTTCATAACAACTGTTCTGACAAGCTTTTTTTTCTCTGGTGCTACGAATACATTCTACTAGATTGGCATCTAGCCCCCATCCTTTTACGACGATGGAGAAATAGATTGAAGCTTCGATTGAGGAGTCGGAGAGCCGAGTTCGAATTCCAATCGAGCTCATTCACTTACATGCTATTGATCTTGGGAAAGGTAAGAATCCATTTTTTCTCCCTCCAACGATCGGTAAATAGCAGGACAGACTGGGTCCTATAGCCTTAGGTGGCGAACGGTCTAGTAGAAGTATAACTGTGAATTTAAAACCTGCGAAGGGACATTTGGGAACCTTGTGGCATACTGTGCACCAGATCTCTGAATTGGGCTATCCGAAAAAAAAGTGTGGTTGATTCTGCACTAGTCTTTATCACTGTAATCAAATGGTATGTGCGGGCAGTTTTGGATGTTGGTTCTAAGAACTGAGCTGCTTGAGACTCCATTGTGTATATATATATATATATATATATATATATATATATATATATATATATATATATATATATATATGGACTCTCCCGTCGGTTTCGACGTATGAGGATCTGACAGCTTCCTTGATTCAGTTATGAAATTTTGTGCGATAATCTTAAGTGGCATCTAAGACCCGCTAGAGATTTACAAAGGAGGCCACATATGGAGCAAGTGTGAGGATTGTGAATTGAGATCACTGTTAGATTGGCTGACCTTTTAGATCTTGCTCTCTCTTCTTGAAGATGATTCAGACAAGCAGATTGAAAATTGCTGAGCCCACTAAAACACGGTGATCTCCATTCTACCCGCTCCAAGGCTAAGCGCTCAAGGGTGTTATATATATATATATATATATATATATATATATAGAGAGAGAGAGAGAGAGAGAGAGACGTTGGAGTTTTTATAAATATATGGAGGCATGGTCGAATAATGTATAGCGGCTCTGATTGAGGAATCGGAGAGCAAAGTTCGAATTCCCGTCGAGCTCATTACATTCTTTTACGTTTTCAGACATTTTTATGTTTATAAATTATTTTTATAGATACAACTATTTAAGTAAATGCTCTGTTTTATAATAAACAGTATTAAACAACATTTCCCGGCCTGAATGTCCGAGAAATTATCACAGAAAATATTCGTCCTCCGATTCTTTTACGTGCTAATAGCCTTGGAAAAGGTAGGAATTGATCTTTTCTCCGCCCCAACTATCGGTAAATAGCAGGGCAGACTGGGTCCTATAGCCTTAGGTGGCAACCGGTCTTGGAGGAGGAAAACTCTGAATTTAAAACTACTTAGCCCTGTAATATGCAGCTAAGGAAAAAAATCGTTCTAATTGATTCAATGATCTCGACTACGGTCGATTCCTATTAGGAAAGATAGTGGAGTGGTTTCCTGTTATCTCCACCATTTAAAATTCAGAGCTTTCCTTCTCTTAGACTGGTTCACAACCAAGGCTAGATAGCATAATGTAGCCTATTGCTATGGGGAGAAGAATTTGGAAACTTCAAAAGTGAATGCAACGGACTAAACTCTAAACTCGATTTGTTGTTATCACTTTCCACGTCAATACCCATTACAATACGCGTATATCAAAGTTAGACGTAACGATTTTTAAAAAGTATTGCCTTCAATTCAAAACGAGGCAGTGCCATTTTTTGTAAAGCTTCAGATGAAAGAAAATAGTAACAAAAAAAAAAGGTGTGAAGCGAAAAGTGAATTTTGCCTTTCCCCACTTAACAACCTGTTTACTAAGATATATTTATGTTCGACTTTTCCCAAAATATGCTATTTCCGAGTGACCCCACCTTAAGTGGTTTGAAATATAACGAGGGGACGGCCTTGTAGGAAAGATAAGTATCTGGTAGAAACAATTAAAAATAAACCGACCTTCTTAGAACTTAGAAAAGAAAAAAAAAAACCCAAAACCCCCAAAAAACAAAAAAAGTTTTAACAGAAATTTGTGATAAAAGTGAAAATAGGATGAAAAAAACAAAACAAAAAAAAAACAAACAAACAAAAAAACAAAAACAAATGAATATCTAAAATTATTCAACTCCGAGTCCAAATAATTTAATAATATTTCTTGGTAGTGAACGTGAACGTGTCACTGGATGCAAGTCACCCTTCGCAGTCGAGAATATTTTGTCATATACAGCCAACCATAATATTTCGTCGCTAACTGTTTGCTTGTCAACAACTCTACACGCTAATTGCAAAATGAGACCCCCCACCTCACCAAAAAAGTTGTTTTTCACTGTTTTTTAAGAAAAGATAAGTATTTTTGGGTTTAATCTTGTTCACAATTCATCACATTAACAATTTCTTTTTTAACGAGACGTAGGCAATTTTATTTTGATTTAAAAAAAAATGTTTATATAAGTTTCTTATGGTTGACGATGTGCCAGAAATATTACGGTAGGTCGTATTTGACAAAATATTAGCGACTGCATTACATAGATCCAAGTCAATCTTTGCCACTGCTAGTTTGATCAGTTAATTTGCAGTGTAACACCCCGCACTTAGTTCGCATTAAAAATTTCCAAAATACATACATTTATGTGTAATTGTACATGCTCCATTCGAATCTGGTTTGATAAATTTGATAAAATCTACCGTTTTGGAGTTATCCACTGTGGAATTTGGGATTCAATCGCGTCGTTGGCGGCAGCCATTACTCGGGTTGTTTGCATACATTCGCTGCAGAAAGCTAAACACGGAAGACTTATGAAAAGCTAAGCTCAGAACTGATCTTTCTTGTCTAAATTTGTCTCAATTACTGCGCACGAGAACTATTTACGTAGACACGCTGAGTTTGCGCAATGATACCTACACTGATAGCTATTCTGCAGCGAATGTATACAAACAACGCCAGTAATGGCTGCCCGCGACGTGAATGTATCTGAACTTTCACTATCGATAACTCCAAAACCAGATTTGAATGGAGCATATACAATTACACATAAATGTAAGTATTTTTGAAATTTTTAATGCGAACTGAATGCGGGTGTTACACTGCAAATTAACCGTTAGATCGTTAGCGATCCGACCATGCAACTCGAATTCTAGCCTTATAGCCACATCATGTTGAAACACTGGTGCCCGTACGATCACAGAAGTTAAGCAACGTCGAACCTGGTCAGTAATTAGATGGGGGAACACTTAGGAATACCAGATGCTGTAAGCTTGGACGTTCCGGTGATGTGATGTATGCAGTGGTTCCCAAATGGTGTGGAGCGCCTCATAGTTGCGGAGGAAGAGGATAGCAGGTGAGGCGGAAGTGGATAGCAGGTCAAACATTTAGAAACCTTTTCAAAAAATTCATATTAATATAATTTCAAAATTCAAAATATTTTTATGGATTACTTGTAATTGTATGTATGAGTCCCAGTATAACTACAGGATGCGAGTGCTATTTGAGGACATATTGTTTTAAGTTCATTACACACTCAAATCATTTAAAATATTATTATTTTTTATTTCAGATAACCCAGTCAGAGGAAGATGTTAACCCAAGAAATGAAAAGACATGCAGTCAGTGTTGCTTTAGCTGCAAAAACATAGGGATTTAAAAATCAGTAACTTTTTACATATTGCCAGATCATTTGTTCTTCGGTTGGAGTTAGAGGGATGTGATAGCAATGTTTCTCCTGTAGCAAAAAGAAAAAAAAAAGCATTCACAGCGCTCTGATACTGTGAGAACACCAGAATTTATACGGAATGTTCAAAACATCATCGATGAGAACACCGTAAGATCAATGAGGTCCATCGCTAAAGAACTCCATGTATCAGAGTGGACTATCAGAATCGTGATACATCAGGACATTCGATATAAGTCATATGGAATGAGGAAATTCCAATTCATATCGGCGAAGACACAGGAAAACCGTCTCATGCGTTTAAAACAGTTGCTGAACAAAGTGAAAAATCTCCACGAACATGGAATGGTTTGGTTTTTCTCTGATGAAAAAACTTTGGTCAAGATCAGAAAACAAACAGACGGAATGACAGGTGACTATGTGCATCCCCTTCTGAAGTACCCAGGGTGATGCACACTAAATATCCTGCTACTGTGATGGTTTTAGGAGTAGTGAGCGAAATAAAGAGGTCAGTTCGACATTCCAACCACCTGAAGAAGGCCGGAGCGTAAAACGGCCGAAAGGTGAGGACAATAGTCCGAATATTGTAAATACTGTACATGATACCATATCTCAGAAATATAGACAGATAATGAAAATAGCTATTTTAAGTATTCAGACAAGACTACTATTCTTACTACTACTGCTGCTGCTACTGCTGCTGCTTCCTAGACGTGACAATAAACTACATCCGATAACAAGACCTCTAATTCGGAGGTTTCGAGGAGCGTGGAACCACCTCTTAATTCCTGTTATTTCTAGGTTCATCCTGACCCTGGGCGATAGTACCTGTCAGAGTCACAGCTATAGGAAAATAGTGATTCCCCACCAAAAAAAATAAAAAAATAAAATAAACTATGAAAATGTAAAAATACATTTTTATAGTAAAAATACAAGCAATACATTTTCATAGTCAAAAAAAAAAAAAAAAAATTACCAGCAATACATTTTTGTAAACGAAATTATTAATGCTCCCCCCAAAATTACATTTCGGCATTAAATGACACATAAGGAGTTGATATGCCGATAATCAAAACAAACTACTGCTGCTAGTATTAAATTAATGTCATGGTCTAGACTGTTGTGAGAAAAACCGACAAAAATAAGATGGAAGAAAACTAGTCAAAATAAATAATGAAAATAGTTGATTTAAAAATTAAGATCAGACTTATAGTTCTACTAATGTTGCTATGTTTATTGAATTAGTGCCTTGGTCTAATGTATTGTGGTGCAAAGCAACAGAAATAAGATGAAAGAACAACTAGTCAAAAATTACTGATGAAAATGCTTCATCTACGTATTCAGATAAGGGTATTGCTATTATTATTATTACTTTTACTGAATTAGTGTGCCAGTCAAGAACGCTGCGATAAAAACCAGCAGAAATAAGACGAAAGAAAAACTAGTTAAACATTTATAATTAAAAAGTACAAATTTCAAATAGTTTAAAATTATTATTAAGAAATAAGGACGTGTGGGTAGGACAACTGCTATCGGCGTCAAAAATAGAATCGACGAACCGTGTTCAAATTCTAAATGTATTTGCTGCGTTCACTACGACACTATACCTTAAATCCATCTCGTCTTTCCACAGCAATGGGTTAAATAACAAGGTAGACTAAAGCCATACACCTTGATTGGTGGCTTGTGTAAGGGACCGATTTCTCAGAATTAAAAAAAAATGAACGGAAAGCCACTCCACACTCTTTCCTAAGAAGTCATTGCAAATTACAGATAATATAAAAAATAAGGAAGCTGAGGAGAGCCATGGTTGTTTAAATCCTGGAAGGACATTGTGTAAAAAAAAATTAAAAAGCAATGTAGGATACTATCATTTATATTATCTCAATTCATCTGATATTTTGATTGCCGTATTTTCAAAATTTATGCCTTTTCTTTTTTTAAATGAATTATTGATTTTTATCACAACATTCTCGGTCGAAAGCCTCTCGGCCCATAAAATCGGTAGCGTGAAGATGCCATAAAGAAACAATTTCCAAAGTGATTCGAACTCGTATTCTCTATTCTCTTGCGTACACGACATCTTAACGAACCTCGCGAGACGAAACGAAAATTTATGGCCATATCTCCACTATCCATTTCTAAATATTCGCGCTGTTTTTTTTCTTCCTATCTTGTAACAGTTGCTCGAAATTTTGAAGTCAAGTAAGTTGGCAGCCATTTGTTCCATTACTTCCCTTCATTTTTACTGATCGCTATTTCGTGTTTTAACAGAGGACACAAATTAGAAGACACATAGGGAAAACAGGGAAATATCGGTCTAAACGATGTGTCAGTGAAGCCCGAAGGCGCATTAGAATAGCAACAGATGTGTTCCAGAAACGAGGCAACGCTGGAAAAAAGAAAAGAATTCTTAAAAGCTACGTCATAAGTCGGAAAATTTAAATATCTTGGAAGTGTTCCATCAGAGGACTGAAAGTGCGACATTGAGATCCGAAGATGTATTGGGATGGCCAAAGATGTATTCCAAAAGCTAAGCAGAGTATTAAGAGACAGGAAAATTTTCGTTAGAAACAAAGAAAAGAGTACTGAACTGTTACGTAATATAGGTCTTCCTAAATGGTCGTGAATGCCGGACAATCTCATCACAGAAGAATAAAAGACTTGAAGCAATAGAAATGGTATTTATCAATCCACCCACGGGGATCGAATGTGGCACAAGGCCTTTTTAATGTGGGTATTTCTGAGCCCGTAGGCCCAGCCAAAAAATAAATAACCATCCAAACCCGCCGAGGCGGGCCAGTTCCGTCAACCTCCCCAACGAAACCCCACCTTCGGCAGAGCTTCGTCTGGTTCTCTCTGCAAGCAGAGAGTTCGACAGACACCCGACCGGGCAGCTCACAAAGCGCAGATACTACACTTTGATCCTAGCCACCGGGCCGAGCGGGTATTCTTTTAAATGTGGTTATACAGGAGGATGCTGAGAATACCACGGGCTAAACATATGAACAACGACGTAGTTTAAGAGAAAATGGAAACAAAAAGAACATACTTTGCATCAGGAAGAGACAGCTGAAATTTCTAGGGCATATAATAAGGAAAGAGAGCTTGGAAAATTTGACACCCACAGGACATATTAAAGGTAAGAGGTACAGAGGTAACCTGCCTAACGTGCTTGTGTAAATGGATGACTTTTGTAAAGTAGTTTTCACAGTGGAGGCTTGTATTTCACTAAGTCGTCCTAAATTAGGTTCGACGTACAAAACGCTAGGAACTTGAAATAAGAGTTAATGACGCACCAATCTAGTTGTGATGGTTGATACTTCAATGTCCGACATCGAGTGACTCACTCAACTCCACTGAGCTCAACTGGCGACCGCTACTACTACTACTACTTATTATGTGTGGGAGAGTCTATTACAATAGAATAGGTAATGTTCTAGTATAACAATGACAAAACAGGATTTAAGAGACATAGCAAAGACAGAAAATTTGCTAAGAGCTACAAATCGGGGAAAGCCATTAACTCCAAGGTGTTGAAAAGGACACAGCACATAAAAGAAGAAAGAAGATCACAAATTAGAAAAAAAAAATGGCTGTAATGATTTACTTTTGTTTAAAAAAAATCGGTATCACCCTATGCAAGGCAGTAAAGCCACTAGAATGCATGAGTTACAAGGTATGGAAGAATTAGGAACATAAACATTAATAATAGTGAGCGGGAAGAGGAAAGAGTAATCGGGAGGACAGTAGATAGCGATTGACATTGCATTTAAATTTTTGAAAATTAAAGTTGGCTGGAAAACATGAATCTAGAAGGAAGCTCCAAAAGCAAGAAAAGAAACTATTAGCATATAATTTACGGCTACATCTGGCTAGCTTAATTGTAGATTGATGAGATCTCAACGCCAGTCTCGTATAGCGCTTAGATTAAAAAAGTTTAGGTACCATAACGGAGATCTCATCCGAACAATTACCATGAAAGCATTTATCAAAAAGATACGGAGAGGCAATGTTACGGAGGTGGGAAAGTGACTGAAGCCGAGCCACCAGATCAGGACAAATAATATTGCTGATTCTTCTTTTTATCAAGGGGCTTAAGATAATATAGCAGGGTCACCGGACTATATGTTGGAGCAATATTCTAAGCATGGACGAATGATAGATTTATATATATGTAAGATAGATTCTGGAGAGAAAAATTGTCTCGTCAGACACAGTAAACCAACCTTCTTAGCAACTGACCTAGCAATGGATTCAAGATAGTCTTTCCATTTTATGTCAGCTGATAACACGAGAAGGCTAACTTTTTATATTTCTCCCCCTTCTTTTTTTAGTCGGAAATTTATTAACAGCTTATTTGTCGCGTGTTCTTTTTAGGGTCCCCCCCCCAAAAAAAAAACATGGAAGAAACAACAACATAAGTATGACAAGTGATAATAACAGTGAATCTAATCTAAGAGCAATGAAAATGTCGCTAATATAAATATATGTTAGCGAGCGATGCATAGAAACGCGTTTTCGAGGTGCGAACAGTTTTCGAAAGCTGATAATATCGATTTAATGAAGAGTCTGACATAGAATATCCAGACTTGGCAATAATAGAAACATCATGCAAAAGACATGAGCGTCGATTGAATTAACGAAAAAAGAAAAAGAAAAAAAAGAAAGCATAACCACGTGATAACAAGTTCTGTCCCAAATCGTAGTAGCCTTTTCTTGAATATTACAAGAATAAAGAGTGTTAAAAAATGGGTGATATTGTTTCGTTGCTAACAACTATTGATCCAATTTGCTTTGGCGACTTCTGAACGAGTTGATTACATTAACTAGATATGGCATGATTTGGATATATATATATATATATATTAAAAAGAAAGGGTGCCGCAAACGTTTTTGCGAGTTATTCAAACTTACCAACACAAAAACGTTTGCGGCACCCCTCTTCTTTTTAATACATACTTTTCTCTCGTTGGAACCACTACAACATATTTCTTTTATATATATATATATATATATTGAGTTGACCGATTAAATAGGTCAATGTCTGATCCTTACCTCCTCCTTTCTCAATATTAAGTATTATAAAAAGAAATATAAAAATAAATTTTAAAACTCTCCCTTCCTTCTCTAAACTTGACCATGTCTCTCATACCATCCCTCACCACCCTCTATGTCAACTTATATAAGCTTAATACTGCCCGTCAAAAGTGTAAATTTTAATTTCATTTTTCGTTTCACCTTTTGAAAGTGAAGTCTAAGGATCGAGAGAAGGATAAAATGTTCTGGTGAAATAAATTATTACAATAGAGCCTTAAAGTGGTCTGTTTTTCTTTAAATTATATATATATATATATATATATATATATATATATATATATATATCCAGTTAAAATGAGAACAAATGGAATATAATTCACTGTACGTAACATTTAATTTTTAAATTAAATGTTACGTACAGTGGAATTATACTCAATACAATACAGAGTAGAACTAAATATTATTTATTTTAGGATATTAAAACTAAAACATCTTAAAAATCGCTACACGATTACAATCATATTTCAACACCACAAATGTGTCTCCTCGGACGATGTTAAACCACTGGAGAGCGAAAGATTACTTTCAAAAGCAGAATACTTTTTAAAAAAAATACGCTTGTGGACTACGGTAAATTTAAACCCACCGGGAAAAAAAAATAATATAGGTCATGACACGAAATTAAAATTTAAATTCCAGTTTTCCTCTCTACTCTTCCCTCTTTTTAAAACTTATTCACCGTTCTGTTTATGCTTCTTGAATAGACTTTGAAGATGGAAGCCAGAGAATGAATGTTGGTATAATTACTGAAGGCTTGAACGATTTTCCATTGCTCACAATAACTCAAAATTTTTTCAGTGGTTCTTATGACAAATGGTATCAAGATGGCTAAACGTCATATCTGAAAATCTGGAAAAAGAAACTCAATTAGATTAGTAGTTCTTAAATATTAAACATTTTGTGGGGTGGACAATTCTGCTGCTACACTATTTGAACTATTTTGCTGTTACACCCTGTATATATATATATATATATATATATATATATATATATATATATTTATGGAAAGACAGCTCAACATCGAAAACAGATCTTAGAGATTTAAACTCTGTGAATACAGGAATCAGCGCTTGACTGACTTCATTGAAACGTGAAATCTTGTGGGTGAGCAATATTATTCGCGGATAACGCGACTATGCGGCAGATAATACTGGGTTATATGGTATCAGTACAGTGTAACCCGGATATAAGAGAGTTGTCGGGACCGAAGAAGCTCTTATATCCGGGTTTCTCTTATATCCGGGTTTGGTCTAATTTATATACGTTAACATAGGCTCTAATTTGGGACCAGAGAAAATCTCTCTTATATCCGGGTTTCTCTTATATCCGGGTCTCTTATATCCGGGTGACACTGTATTATTTATAGAGTGACATAACGTAACTGAACAAAACCGAATTTCTAACCTTGTTAACCACATCATTTTTTGATGTGGTTAACAAGATCTTTAATAATTTGGTCTGAAAAAAAAGAACAAAAATGTTTCAACGAAAGAAAATATAAAAAAATTGTCGCAAAAATGAAAGAAAAAAGGAAAAAAAAATTGCCTGAAAACTGAAAAGAAAGAAAAAAGAAAATCTAATAAAAATACTGTGTAACCCGGATGTAAGAGAAACCTGGATATAAGAGAAACCCGGATATAAGAGAAACCCGGATATAAGAGAAACCCGGATATAAGAGAAACCCGGATATAAGAGAAACCCGGATATAAGAGAGATTTTTTCTGGTCCCAAAGTGTTCCTATACTTACCTAGACAAAACCCGGATATAAGAGAAACCCGGATATAAGAGACTTCTCCGGTCCCGACAACTCTCTTATATCCGGGTTACACTGTAGAAAGAAAAAGAATTAAAAAGAAAGAGAACCTTCTATGAAAAAAATATTAGTGTAAAAAAATTAAAGAGAAAAATAGAACAATAAAAGTGTAGCACGAATATTTGTTGGCCGAAGCTATAAATTGTTCAAATTATTAGTTTCAGCTATGATTCTCGAAGTTACATTGTTTTCTTTTTAAATCGTGTTATTGATAAAGTTATTCGGGAGGTGTTATATGACTTTCAAAGATCAACTTTCAAAAGACTTTTTTCTTTTCTTATCTTGGCGCAGGAGATTTTAAAATTTAAGAAAAACGATCTAATATCAAAATTTATATTTCAACCAAAAATCAGCTGTTTTTGAGAAAGTACTGAAATCTCTAGTAATTACACGCACGCACGCTTGTGTGTTTGCGTGTATGTTTTATATTTACGTGTAGATTTATTATTTAACACATTTCGCAATTGAGTGATCTTTCTCTCTCTCTCTTTCTCTCTCTCTTTCCCTCACACTCGCTCTCTCACACACACAGAGTCCCGCACTTATACACACGCAAATACAACTATATCAAATTTGTGCCTGTGTATGATGTACTTGTTTTTTCTTCTCTTGCAACTGAGATATTATTCACACATGCGCACTGTCGACACTTCGTATTTTGCTTTTTTTTTAAACAAATGGCGATATCATTTACACTTTCTTGCCGTTGCTACATTTTTATATCGACGTGTAATATTAGTATTATTTTATTTCCTCAGTGAATTTTTACACTAGTTGTAATTATTGGGCATGTCTCCTCAATAACCAAAGACTCTTTTCAGAATCCAAGCTGATTCTGCTTGTCGTCTCGGTGGCTTCGATTGTACTTCGGATTACCAGTTTTTTCAAATAGGTTTTCTGGAAATTTGAATAATAATCATATAATAATTGTTCTGTTCTTCTTTAGTTATTCAGTTTGCACGACCGTTACATCCTGCCAATACCTAATAAATAATGGACTATTCCGTTTTGATCGGGTAGAAAAAGGGGTAAACACTAGTCTTTTCAGTGAGAAAATGAAAGAAAGATAAAAACAAAGAATGGAAGAAAGAAGGGAAGAAAGAAAGGAAAGGAAGAAAGGAAGAAAGAAGGGAAGAAAGAAAAGAAGAAAGAATGGAAGAACGAAGAAAAGAAAGAAGGGAAGAAAGAAAGGAAAGGAAGAAAGGAAGAAAGAAGGGAAGAAAGAAAGGAAGAAAGAATGGAAGAAAGAAAAGAAGAAAGAATGGAAGAACGAAGGAAAGAAAGAATGGAAGAACGAAGAAAAGAAAGAAGGGAAGAAAGAAGGGAAGAAAGAAAAGAATGAAAGAACGAAGGAAAGAAAGAATGGAAGAACGAAGAAAAGAAAGAAGGGAAGAAAGAAGGGAAGAAAGAAGGGAAGAAAGAAAAGAAGAAAGAATGAAAGAACGAAGGAAAGAAAGAATGGAAGAACGAAGAAAAGAAAGAAGGAAAGAAAGAAGGGAAGAAAGAAGGGAAGAAAGAAAAGAAGAAAGAATGAAAGAACGAAGGAAAGAAAGAATGGAAGAACGAAGAAAAGAAAGAAGGAACGAAAGAAGGGAAGAAAGAAGGGAAGAAAGAAAAGAAGAAAGAATGAAAGAACGAAGGAAAGAAAGAATGGAAGAACGAAGAAAAGAAAGAAGGGAAGAAAGAAGGGAAGAAATAAATGTTTAACGTATCCTGCCAATACTTAATAAATGCATGGAAAAGCAAAAGACATATCAGAGACGCTACTTGGTTTCAGTGAAAAAATGAACGAAAAAAAGAAGAAATGGACACTACTTGGTTTCAGTGAGAAAAAAAAGGAAGAATGGAAAATAGAAATGTTTAACGTCTTCTACCAATACCTCATAAATAATGGGGTATTCCGTTTTGATTGTGTGGAAAAACAAAAGACATATCTGAGACTACTTGGTTTCAGTGAGAAAATTAATGAAAGGAAGAAAGAAAGGCAGATAGAAAATTTTAACGTTTGTTTCAGTGAATTAGAAAACGTTGTCAGTTTCAAATTTTTTTCATTTGTACCCCCTTACTTCTTTAAATAATAACCAACATTCATATTTATGATTGTTATTGCAATATTTTGTTAAAGTTGTTAAGCTCAAATATTTATGGGATTCGGGGATTCTACTGTAATTTTATTGTCGTAGAACCAGCCATGAGATTATTCAATTTAAAAATTAATATTCATCAGAAAATTCAAATAGGAAAACAGTGAACTGTTCACGGCTATTTCTAATAATAATAATAATAATAATAATAATATGCAGAAACGTTGACAAGATAAACAACTTCATGCATGGTCAATACTCTGCCTGTGGTAAACAAGGTGATATCGACCAACCCCGTGCCCATCAGTGGCTACGTTGGGCCGGGTTAAAAGCTGAAACTGAAGGTTTTATTCTTGCTGCACAGGACCAATGCTTGTTAACTAGAAATTATCAAGCAAACAGACTGAAAAATTGTGTTAACTACAAATATAGAATCTGTGAACAATATCCAGAAACAATTGACAATTTTGTATCAGGTTTCACGGTATTAGCATCCACCGAATATAAAACTTGGCGTCACAGGATGAGCCAATATCTGCACTTTTAAACTCGCAACTTTTATGGGATGGAATCTGCAAGATATTAGAATGAACACCACCCAGACCCGGTTACAGACATCGGACCTGTTACAATTTTATGGGACTTTACAATACACAAAGACAACAATTAAAGCTAATCGCCTAGACATCGTGATCAAAGACAAACAAATACAAAATGTGCTTTCTTATTGACATGGCAGTAACTGCAGACTGAAATGTATCTTTTAAGCTCTTCAAAAAACTATCAAAATACAAGAATCTTGAAGTGGAAATTAGAAAGAAATGAGACATGATGACATCAATAATTCTAGTTGTGGTTGGCACCCTGGATTTCATTGGAAAAGGTTGATTGTAACATCAATGTATTTAGAATTATATTACTATAGGAATATATTTTATATGATTTTACTACGGGAGTGCATTGTAAATAATTTTACTATAAGAACGAATTGTAAATGATTTTTAATATAGAAGTATATTGCAAATGACTTTTACTATAGGAGTGTGTTATAAATGGTTTTAAGATAGGAATGCATTGTAAATGATTTTACTATAAGAACGCATTGTAAATGATTTTAATGTAGTAATATATTGCAAATGGTTTTACTATAAGAATTCATTATAAATGATTTAACTAGAGAAATGCATTGTAAATGATTTTACTATAGGCATTCATTATAAATGGTTTTACTACAGAAATGCATTGTAATTGATTTTACTATAGGAATTCATTATAAATGATTTTACTATAGAAATGCATTGTAAAAGATTTTACTATAGGAATTCATTATAAATGATTTTACTATAGGAATTCATTATAAATGATTTTACTATAGAAATGCATTGTAAAAGATTTTACTATAGGAATTCATTATAAATGATTTTACTATAGGAATTCATCATAAATGATTTTAGTATAGAAATGCATTGTAAATGATTTCATTATAAGAATCAATTGTAAATTATTTTAGTATAAGAACCCACTTTGAATCATTTTAATATAGGAATATATTGCAGATGACTTTTACTATAGTGCCTAATGTAATATAATGTATTTTGAATGGTTTTACTATAGGAATTCATTATAAATGATTTTACTATATGAATGCGTTATAAATGCTTTACTATAGAAATGCATTATAAATGCTTTACTATAGGAATATATTACTGATAACCTTTACTATAGTAATGTATTGTAAATGATTTTACTATAGCAGCGTTCTCAGAGTCTTAATCACATTCCTCCACCTTGCAATTTGAGGATGCGTCAGTGTCTTCTCCATTTTGAATTGTCACCTGTTTTTTTTACTTATATTTTACTTATATTTTACTTGTATATTTATAATTTGTACATGTCACTGAAATTGCTTCCCTTTTCATTCCTTGGTCCCATTCCCTCTGTTTAGATTTGAAGATCACATCAAATCATAATTGTAGGGCACCCAATGAGAATCAAACTCATTTTGATATCTAAGAAAGTCGTGCAGGACTAATTTGTTCATAAATACCTTTCTATCATTCTTGATGTGTGTTTTTTTATTAGATTAGTCTGGAACAAGATGAGAAAGTTTCGAGATCTCTCGAATAATACTAGCCTCGGTATGACTCACATTCATTATGACTAGTATTTTATTGCTATGAGTTTGAGTCATTAGTAATTTTCGTTTTGGGGAACCAAATGTATTGACGAATGCATCATCCTAGCTAGTCATTCCGGATCTTTTCTGTTAATTTACACCAAAATAAAAAAAATATATTTAATAAAATTAACAGCAAAATTCAGAAATGTCCTTTAAAATTTGTTCAAAAATGCATTCATTGTTATTTTTTGCTTTACATCTCCAAAGGAACACACACCAAAATATGAGTCTATCATTCTACGGTGAGTTCAGAACATGGACTCATTCTTCATTTTGGCGTTCTGTCAGGTACTTTCTATTGTTTGCGTGTGAGTTGATGTTTCTGGGTCAACGAAAGTCATACTGCAATTTACAGTCAGATGAATATAATTGCGACCATCTTTCAAAGATCTATATCCTTTCCAACAATCCGACATGATCGTAGTTCTACGTAAAATACAGCTACGGATTGTGCCCAATAATATGGAGGATGTTGTCGCTAGCAGACAGTACATGAAACATTCTTTTCTTTCACGACATATGTCTGCAAATACTTTCCTTCTTTAATAAAAAACAAACAAACTTTGATTTAAAAATTATAATTTCTCGGGGTGAATTTATATTTGTGATAAGTAATTTTACATTATTTGGGGTGAATTAACAGGAAAGATCCACAATTCCTTAAATATGTCATAACAGGTGATGAAAAATGGCTGATGTACGGCGTTGTTCAGCATGAAATCTGCTGCAAGTGTCCATCAAAGTTTAGTCGAAAATCGCCTTGCTCTCGTGAAAGGGAAAACCATTGTTCGCCACCACAACGGAAAGACCGCATACAAGAATAACAAGAAAAATTTTGGAACTCAGTTTTTTCTAAGGCCATACTCACCTGATCTTGCACCAATCGAGTGTTACTTTTTCGATCGTTGCAAAATGCTTTGATGTGGAAAACCTTCTCAAATGAAAAGACTGATTAAAAAGTTCGTCGAAAACGTTCTAAGATTAAAACCTGCAGAATTTTGCTCAAAAGGTATCTTTGGTTTGTTTTGGTTTGGTTTGTTTTGGTTTGGTTTGTTTTACGGCATATCAACCTCAATGGCTTATTTAATGCCGACAAGATTTTTATTGCTGGTAATTTTTTCCGAAAATGTATTGCTGATAATATTTTTTTCAAAACTGTATTGCTTGTAATAATTTTTCCAAAAACAGTATTGCTGGTGTTAAAACCTATTTTTTTACACTTTCATAGTACCTTGATCCCTTTGGGTGTGTGTGTGGGGGGTAACTATTAGGCCATAGCTGGGACCCTGACAGGTGCTACCATCTCGGGACAGGATGAACCTGGGAAAGCCATCAATTAAGAGCTGGTTCCATGCTCCCTAAAACTTCTTGAGCCTTGCTCTCGGATGTAGCTTATCGTCTTACCCAGGACTTCCAAAAGGTATAGACAAGCTGCCTGATAAATTGTGACGAGTGATTGCAAATATTGGTGATTATGAAATTGAATAAAGTATAATTGTACTTTATTTTTCGAAGAATAGAATTGCTAAGCAAAAACGGACATTATTTATTACTCAGTCTAACAGTTTGATTCCATATCATTATCGTTGCTATTACAATATTCAACACTTATCACACAACAATACACACTTCATTATTACTATTATTTTATTACTAGCTTTCCCCTAGCTTGTTAACGATCGTTCTACGGTGGGATATTCATAATAATTCCGTCGTAACCAATGTAAGTATTAAATAGACTTATCGTTACTTAACTTCAGTGATCGATCACAATGGTTCAATTATATTGCTATCAGGACTTTGTGCTGGCCAATAGCGAAAGAAAACCCTGTATATCTTCGTAGTCTGGCAGAAAATCAGACAATAGTAAATTAATATAGTTTTCGTTGTTTGAGTTTCTATCATTTTTTTCCAATTTTTGTCAACCGTCGCTTTTGATGCAACCCTACACAAATACCAACATTTGCATGCCACTATATATACTCTTATATATACTATTATATACATATATACTATTATATATATATATATATATATATATATATATACTATTATATATATATATACTATTATTATTATTATGCATATATTATATATATATATAATATTAAATATATACTATTATATATATACTATCATATATACTATTATATATATATACTATTACATATACTATTATATATGTATACTATTATATATACTATTATATATATACTGTTATATGTATTTACTATTATATATACTATATATGTATACTATTTATTATTATATATATATATACTATTAAATATATATTATATGTATTTACTATTATATATACTATTATATATACTATCATATATATACTATTATATATACTATTATATACATATATTTATATATATAATATTATATATATATACTATTATATATATACTATTATATATACTATTATATATATACTATTATAAACATATATACTATTATATATACTATTATATATATATACTATATATACTTTTATATATATATATATTATATATGTATACTATTATATATACTATTATATACTTTTATATATATATATATATATATATATATATATATATACTATTATATATGCTATTATATATACTATTATTATATATATATATACTATTATATATAAATACTATTATATATATATATATATATATATATATATATATATATATATATATATATATAATGCAAGGTGCGCCAGACAATCGATTATAAATGATGGCCTAAAGAAAAACAAACTTATTTAATAATTAATCAGTATATTTAAAAAAAAGTAGTAAACATGTTCGATTAAATAAATGATTATTCAATAAAAAACCGCCCTTAGCCTCGCGGGTGGGTTTTGAAGCGACCCCAGAAGCGGTCTACTTACCCTGATTAGATTCTTCTCATTATTATTGACCATGACGTCTATGATTGTAAAATACTGCCATCCTATCAAAGGAAGTCAACAGTTACAAATCTGAAGTTGTTTTTCTTCAGTCAATAATCAATCCTTATAATCCATTTTTACGCATGGTTTTCTGTAAGTCAAGTCGACTTAACTCTAAGCAGCTTTGTTCCACCCACCACGAATGTTGCCGGTAGGGAACCATCCATATGATCCTTATTTGTGTATATACACGTATGAAATCACTCATCTATGGGATTAGATCGTGGTCATTAAAGCTATCTGAACATATAAATATCGGTTTGTGTTGGGAATAGATAGACATATGTGAAGATCTTTTTTCTTCTCTTTCTCTCACTCTCTCACCCACCCCAGACACGGACACACACGAGCCTTACCTCACTTTCTTTCATTCTTACGTATTCTTGTTTTTTCATGTACTTCTTTCCCATTGTTTCACTTTAATCTTTCATTTTCTATTTCTTTTTATTTCTTCCTTGACTCTCTTTCTTTCTTTATTTCTTTCTTTCTTCGTGGCAACTTTCTATCTTTCTTTTACGAATCTTTTTTATTTATTTCCTTCTTTCTTCTCGTTATTTTCTCTTCCTTTTTTCTTTCTTTCTTTCTTCTAGTTAGTAAATTCCATCTATTTTTTCTTTCCTTTTGAGTGTTTTCCTCTTTCTTTCTTTCTTTCTTTCTTTCTTTCTTTCTTTCTTCGTGGCAACTTTCTATCTTTCTTTTACGCATCTTTCTTCTCGTTATTTTCCCTTTCTTTCTTTCTTTCTTTCTTTTTTTCGTTCTTTCTTTCTTTCTCACCTATTCGCTATATGTGTGGTCAAGCCTTGTGCGTTTACATTGAAGAATAAAACTTCAGCTTCATAAAAGCGTGCCTATATCAGTATATGTACCTCATATATATATATATGTGTATATATATATATATATATATATATATATATATATAATAAATAGTAAAATTTAAAATCACATCATATAGGGAATAGCCTATTTCGGCAGACGAACATATCGGTCATCTGTCTTACCAACCCCAGTGTGGACTTAGTTCGAGCCCAACCTCCCCACAAAGTAGGATGTGGCACAAGGCAAAGTTTTATGTGGGGCAAATCCAAGCCGTAAGCTCCGGCAATAATTCCCCACTGACCTCGCATACACAGGGTCGGGTTTGTCTGTCTCCCCGAACGAGTCTTTGTCCTTCGTCATTGCCTCGTCTGTGTTCCTCTCTGCGCAAAGGCAGAGATTTTGACAAAAATTGCGCCCCGCCCGCGTTCAGCTCATGTTGCCGACGGCGGGCGCCCAGTTGTTGTAGTTTGTAAAATGGGTATCCTATATAATACCAGGTGAGTTCAATATGACGGGTAAACCAATCCCGCCCGGTGGGAGGGTAAACCATCCAGTTAAGATCAAAAATTGCCGTAAACTTAAAAAGTAAATAAGTTCTACCGGGAAAGGCTTTATGACAAAGAGAAGTGCTCAATGACACAAGCGATGATAGCGCTATGGTAAAGGAGCTTAAGCTTGAAGCCAAAAAAAGTGCTCTACTGAACGGGGCAACTAAAGTCACGTCAGAGTCTTTAGAATATTAGAAAAGGATGAGCAGTTCTGAAAAGAGTTTGCTCCAAATCAGCTTACTGACAGAAAAGTGCTCGCTGCTATAAGAAATGGCAGAGCTTCAATATTAAATCAAAATTCGGGTAGGCAGTGACCGGCCACGACTGCTAGTTTTATGTGTTTGCACGCAATCATCAGGCGGCCAGTGGCTGTAGTTTGTAAAGTGGGTACCCTATATAATACGGACGGAAAGCGTTGGTGTAATTTATGACAAGAACAAAGAAAAGGATAGTTCACACAGTAAATGAAAAAAAAGTGGGTAAGGAAGGAAAATTATGGAACACGATTAAAATATATTTATTGGTAAAATAATTTACGAATAAAAAAAAATATTTCCAAGTAAGTATAAAATGAAAAAAAAAATAATATTAGGTTGGTGCAAAAATAATGACGTATTAATGTCGTTTTTTGACGTTAAAAATACGTCAAAAAACGACATTATTACGTCATTATTTTTGAACCAACCTAATACTCACTAACCTCCAAAAAGATTGAGGGACCGCATGAAATGCTCTTTCTGTTAGAGTCTGTTGATGTAACTTAATGTGGATTGATTCAAGGATACGTTAATGAGGAGCGGACTGGGTTCTCTGAAAGAATTGTTCGCGCAGTCTAGATTCTCAAGCAAGTGCTGGCCAATGGCCGAATCATTTGCAGACTGAGTTACCGTCAAAAAATGATTCAAATCATCCAATCTTATACTGGCAGGAACGTGCTGACTAATTCGGGTTTCCAGTCGCTGATTGGTTCGTCCTACGTATTCAACTTCACACTGACATTTGAATTTATATAGTATAGAACAACTTTTAAAAATGCGACAAACCATCTTTGACAAATGAAGGAAATGCTGAATTAGTCCCCAAAACAACACAACCTGGCAATAGAAAATCTGATGTAACACAAGCCGACACTCTGTCAGCAAGCGTTTAACTTTTCCCACCTAGCCACGGTTATTTTAAATAGACAAAAAACAGGCTGGGACCCAACACTATTGGTTCTTTAAAGTATTTAATCTTACGCTCAACAACGCGTTTAATGACATTCAAAGGTTAATCAATGTCACAAAAACACGATTAATGTTCTCCAATCCGTGACTGAGTCTACAAGAACAAATCGAATGGACCAAGACAGAAATTAGGCTCATCTTACGAGACCTAAGGACAAAAGAATTCTAGTTGGGGTATAGACCTGTGAACGTAGGCTTCCGATAAACACTGGTAATGAACAAACCATTTTTATGTTCAACCAGTATATCTAAAAAAAACAAACAACCATAGTGCATCTGTTTTCCATTTTCATGTTTGAATTAAAGGGATGGATGAAAGGAATTAAGTTGGGTATGAAAAGCTGCAAAATCGTTAATAGAATCGAAAATAGAAAAAGTATCATCAACATAACGTGGAGACACGTGGGGCTTACAATATTTTTTAAATAAAAAACTTTCATAAAAACCAAGAAAAAATGTTAGCTAATACTGGACCCAGAGGAGTGCCCATCAAACCACCATCGACTCGGGCATACATGGTATTTAATAATACCACCCACTCTGAATAAATGCTACCTACTCTGTTGATGAAAGCATAAACTCCAAAAACAAACTTTCAGGCGGGACCCAGGTGTACTCTATAATGTCACTGCAGATTTGGAAGGTTTGATGAAGGGGGCTATTTATGTACAAACTGTTAATATCAAAGGACACCATGAGCTTGCTTTCAGAACACTAATCAGTGTCTCAAATGAAATTAGAAAACTGAAATGAGTCAATAACATCATAAGTGGAAAACAGTCCACATACTGGCTGAAGCAATTCAGCCAACTATTTGGCCAATTGATGTTGTATAGAATCTACTATAGAAAAAACTGATCCACAAAAAGAGCTCAATTTATTTATTATTACAGAGCAAAATTTGTGCACAATAAAATCCAAAATCACGTCATATGGGGAAAAAGCTTATTTCGACCGACGAAAATATAATTCGTCAGTCTTATCAAGCCATATCGGACACACACACAAACACACACACACACACACACACACACACACACATATATATATATATATTTATATATTATAAATTAACTGATTTATATATATATATATATATATATATATAAAAAAACCTAGAGAGCCAGAACCTAACGGATCTCCAGGGTACTACTAGCTAATACAAATTGTATTATCCGGGTTTTTTCACACCACCTGAGTATAGGTATTTAAATTTATATATATATATATATATATATATATATATATATATATATAATTTCTGTAGTTCACTGCTACCCGCAAGCAGAATTTTTTTCTCCTGATGATGGCCATGTTGGCCGAAACTAGTCGAGGAATCTAAATGAAATAATAATAAAAAAAACGAAAGAATATTAATCTACAACCCAGTGTGTCTGAAGATTTTAATTGTTTTAGTATTTTTTATTGTTCAATATATATATATATATATATATATATATATATATATATATATATATATATATGTGGCGTGTCTGGTCCGAAAGACTTGTCACCCGCTACCAAAAGGTAATGGAAACAATAGACCAAGTAACACAATAATGTCGGTTTTTGTCTATTTGGACTTATAGCAAAATGAACTGTGACTTTGTAAATATGTAAACATTTCTACAAATCTAATTAGAAGTGAAGTTTGGCGCGTTTGGCGTCTGAAGTTTGGAGCAGCTGAATACTTCACAGCTGCGACAGCAGTCAGTACTCAAACATAAAAGATGAATATCAATATATGCGCCAAGCTTATATATATATATATATATATATATATATATATATATATATATATATATATATGCAGCAATCCTTCGTTTATGCATGTTTCATTAAAAACGACAGACAATGTACTACGGTTAAGCTTTTTATTTAATTTTTCTTGTGTTCAACGAAGAGCTTTCTTTTCTGGACAAAGAGTGCGTAAATGTGCATGTTTTAGTGTGTTGTAGGGATGATTTCCGAATATGGTAAGCACATTGTGGCCTTGTTCGTAGTTAATATTGTTAAGAGTTGGCTTTATTTTTTTTTTTTATTATTATTGAAGCTTCCATTATTTTTTTTTAAAAAGATTAAAAATAATGGTAGCTTTAATAATGAAAAAGAAAAGTCAACTCTTAAGAATATTAACTACGAATGTGCTAACCATATTCGGAAATTAAAAACATCTCTATAACACACTAAAACATATACATAATGCACACACTCAATTAAGCTAAAAAATCGAATCATCCTGGATAATGGCTAAAGGTATAGCCGAAAGCGCTTGGAACTATAAAACATTTGGACAGTTTTTACAGACTTTTTATCCAGAAAAGAAAAATTAAATAAAAAGCTTAAACGTAGTACTGTTGTTTTTTTAATGAAACACACACACACACACACACACACACACACACACACACACACACACACACACACACACACACACACACACACACACATATATATATATATATATATATATATAACACAACTCTTTTACGCTTAAAAAGAAAAGAAACACGTAAATTACTTTACTTTTTATTTTTACGAGTTTAAAGGCGAGCAAATACTTGTAAAGAATGTGCTCAATATTTAAAATAAATCATCAGTAATCAAAATAAGTAAAAGATCAAAAGAATCATATTAGTACCGAGTTTAAGTTTCGCAGACACACCGCTCACCAGGGCTCAAATCTACACCTCCCATATTTTAAACTATCACCCGTGTTGTGCGAATGAACTGAAGACTGATTGATTTGTTTGTCTAACGGCATATCAACTCTTGCATGGGTCATTTAATGACGATTTTTTTCTTTGGAGCTTTCAAGAAACAAAACTAGGATATATGTTATTCTGCTTTCACAGTCGAATACATGGTAGATGATACTCAGCTTTTTGTGCAGATAGATGTTTGTGTTGACTTAATAACTAGAAGCGGAGATGTGTTTTTTAAGTTGTATTTTGTTGAAGCTACATTTTGGAATACAGTTTGATTTAAGAAATTGTAGGCTATTATATGGCTTAATGTCTTGAAAGAATTCTTTCATAATGGTAATGAAGGGCAGAGTCTCGTTCGCGTAGGTAAACCGACCCTGAACCCGTTTATACGGGTTCAAAGGGCATATTTTTGGCCGAGCCCACGGGCTCGGAGATCCCACGTTAAACCGGTCTTGTGCCACATGATGCACTCGTGGAGGGGGTGACTAAATACCGTTCAGTCTGAAGTCTGGAGTGAGGTCCGTCAGGAGTCAGTCAGTCAGAGCGAGTCAGTCAGTCGAGTCAGAGACAATTACTACTAAACCTGGTTGTTCGTACTAACACTTTCTACTTCTCTGTATATATTCCTGTTTGTAAAATATCTGTGTTATTCCATATCCGTATTCGAGTTCTTCTTTATTGGTTCTACCTTGGACTATCACCCTGGAACCGGACCATAACAATTTGGGAGTTTACTATTTGCTCATAGCTAGGACCAAGTTCTACCACACCGGGACTGGATAGATGTGTGAACAACAGTAATTAAGAGGTGGTTCCACCCTCCCTCAAACATCTAATAGCCCGATCAGTGGCCTTGCTGCAGGATGGAGTTTATCGTCATACCCAGAACGAGTGAACTTAAGCAAGATACTGTCATCATCTAGCTAGATATCTTACCATTTTTCTGCCGATACCATCAGTTGACATCATGGCTTGGACCGGTGCACACTGTGCGTTTGCTGTTGAAACCGTATTTCAGAGAGTTTTCCTGGTCATTTCATTTTACGTCGGAATGATGCTGTTCCATTAAAATTTTTATACTATTATGAGTTGAAAATTTAAGAGTCGAAGGCTCAGCGCTTAAAAGAATGTTGCCCGGAAGAAGACCTCGAAGCGCTCGAACTCCAGAAAATGTCCAGATATCGTCTACAAAAATGTATGGCGAAAACAGGCCACCATTTGGAGGATGTCATTTGCAAAACGAAATGACTAAAAATGCCAAACTTGAAAATGTGTTAGGCATTTCTGTTGCATCTATCTATCTATCTATCTATCTATCTATCTATCTATCTATCTATCTATCTATCTATCATTCTGTTTCTTTCTATCTGTCTATCGATCTATCATTCTGTTTTTATCTATCTATCTATCTATCTATCTATCTATCTATCTATCTGTATAGATGGTTTACAGTCATAACACATTGAAACAAAAGTACGATCACCGCTTGGTTAGTGCCTACATGGGTGTTCTCTTGAAAATATCAGCAGTTGTAAGCTTGGATGTGCCAGTGGTGTTATGGATAACGGTTGGGAAAATCGGAAAGCCGAGTTCCAATTCCAGTCGGGTTCATCATATTCACTTACGCGAAAAGGAAAAGATTGAATCCAACGCTTCTCTCTCTTCCTCTCTCTCTCTCTCTCTCTCTTATATTATATATATATATATATATATATATATATATATATATATATATATATATATATAGACAGATACAGGCAATTCTTTCATATTTATCTAAATATGAATCTATGTGTTTGAGCTGACATTCCCATTGGATAAAGTTTGAACTATGTAATCAATATTCATCACTGAATTAGGTGCAATGACAATGGATATTGCTATGAAAAATATTTGTTTAAAAACATAAATGTCTATCTATCTATCTATCTATCTATCTATCTCAATCTCTTCATATCTATCATTCTACTCATATCTATTTATCTGTCTATCTCAGTTACTATTTATCTGAGTTTCTTTCTATCTATCTATCTATCTATCTATCTATCTATCTATCTATCTATCTATCTATCTATCTATCTATCTAAGACTGTTCATTATCTATATATATATATACATGTATGTATGTATCTTATCTTGTCTGTTCATATCTATCTATCTATCTATCTATCTATCTATCTATCTATCTATGTCCAATTATATACCCCTTCCTTGTTCTATGGATATCTATTTTCATATGAATATATTTACGGGATATCATTATTTTTTTTTATATCTTCATCATCTGAATAGTTCGACCATGTTGGCTAAAAATGAAAGAATGTCTTGCATGTGGTCAAGAGTCTCTCGTACGTTTTCGATTTAGAACAGCTATATTTATCGAAAGTCACCGCTTGAAGTTCAGAATATTATACCGAATGAACCACTGATCGCTCCTCAATACACACATTCGTATATTTTTCAGCAACACACGACAGACAAATCTAAACTATCAAAGAATACAAAAAGAATGATGCAGACTTATATGAAGACTCTTATCCCAACTA